TCATATTCTCTAAGAACTTTAAGGATCAGAGATAGAAATCCCGAAATTTCTCTTGACAACCACCATAAAACTTATTCTAAGCTTTTAGACCAGGACTAGTCAACCTCAGTACTACTAGCATTTTGGGCTGGGCAATTCTTTGTGGGAGGCTATCCTCTGCATAGTGAGATGTTTTATCAGTATAGTAGTCCTCTACCCACAAGATGCCAGTAGCAACTTTCCCTCCACCCCCACCCAGTCCGACAACCAAAAACATCTCCACATTGCCAAATGTCCCCATGGTGAGGGGGACCATCTTTGTGATGGTTAACATGTGTCATCTTGACTGGGCCACAGGGTGCCCAGATATTTGGACGAACACTATTCTGGGTGTGTCTGTGAAAGTGTATTTAGATGAGATTAACATTTGAATCAATAAACAAAGCAGATTGCCCTCTCTAATGTGAGTGGCCCTAATCCAGTAAGTCGAAGGTCTGAACAGAAGAAAAAGACTGACCTTTCTTAGAGGAAGGCAGCAATTTTCAACCAGTGTGCTGGAAGAATTTTTATTTTATTTAAAAATATTTTTATTGCCGTAACCGGTTTGGCTCAGTGGATAGAGCGTCAGCCTGCGGACTGAAAGGTCCCAGGTTCGATTCCGGTCAAGGGCATGTACCTGGGTTGTGGGCACATCCCCAGTAGGGGGTGTGCAGGAGGCAGCTGATAGATGTTTCTCTCTCATCGATGTTTCTAATTCTCTATCCCTCTCCCTTCCTCTCTGTAAAAAATCAATAAAATATATTTAAAAAAATATTTTTATTGATTTCAGAGAGAAAGGGAGAGGGATAAAGACATAGAAACATCAATGAGAGAGAATCATTGATCAGCTGCCTCCTGCATGCCCCCTACTGGGGAGTGAGTTTATAACCCGGGCATGTGCACCAACTGGGAATCAAACTATGACCTCCTGATTCATAGGTCGAAGCTCAACCACTGAGCCATGCCAGCCAGGTGCTACAAGAATTTTTTAAAACATGCAATATCTTACTATTTTAGTCAGGGGCAGTGACCTCTTCTCCCTTAGATTGTCAAATAAAAAAACAGCTGCCCTGACTCAGTAGCTCAGTTGGATAGAACATCACCTGGATTACGTCAAGGTTGCAGGTTCGATCCCGGGTTAGGGCACATACAAGAAGTAACCAGTGAATGGATAAATAAGAGGAACAATAAATCAATGTTTGTCTCTCCCTTCCTCTCTCTCTCTAAAAATTAATAAATAACTTAAAAAGAAAAAAGATAGCAGTCAACACAATAGTTGTCTGGTGTAAGTAAAAATTATACTTTTTTTTGTCAGATTGGCACAAAATACTTTGGTGTGCCAAAGAATGTTAGTAATTAGTTTATGTGCCATGAGATGAAAAGGTTGAAAACTGCTGGAGTAAAGGACCTTCTGCTTGACTATAAGCTGGGACATTGGTTTTTTTCCTGCCTTTGTGGGGCTTCTGGTTTTTGAACTGGAACTGCACCATCAACTTTCCTGAGTTTCCAACTTGCCAAATGTAGATCTTAGGACTCCTCAGCCTCCATTTTTGGGCGATCCAATTCCTTATAATCAATCAATCAATCAATCAATCTTTCATGTGTCAACTTGACTGGACCGTGGGGTATTCACACACATACACATTCACTCACTTGCATCCTGTTGGGTTGTTTCTCTGAAGAATCCTAAAACATCCTGGCTGAGAACCACTGTTGCAGATTATTGTTACTGGAGGAGAAGCAGTAGGGAGCAAATAGGGAAGAAAGAAAAGAGCAAAGCAAGAAACTTCTGGGAAAAGTGTAGGTATTACCTTTCTTTCCAGAAATGGATTGTGGTTGATAAGAACTGCTCACTGGTACATTTTTGCATCACACATCCAAAATGTTACCTGGCACAGAGACTACTTACCTTGACACTAGGAAGGTATTTGGCAGATACGACTATAAAATAAGAATACATTCTATAAGCTGAGATAATAAAAGATTATGTTTATGATCAAGTCACATGAATTTATTTGTCATGATAAAATACATCAAATCCACTGTTTTTCTTCTATACAAAACTTTCTAAAAGAATGTTTCTGAAGCAAACTCACAGTGCATACAATGTATTATTGATTTCAGGCTCCTGTATCTTGCTATGTATTACTTGTATTTGAAGATTTCTTCCGTGGGCCTTGTTTCTTGTATAAGTTTTTGAAATCCAAGTTTCTGTGAAAGTATTAAAGTTGATATCTGATCTTATCTAATGATTTTATTTGGCACAAAATAGAAGAGTTCATGACAGTTAATGTGAACTGCACTGGGGCAATATCTACTAGTAATCAAGTGCACAGATACATCCTGAAGCACAGTGGATTCTTCAAGGTCTTGAAGACAACAATCATAGTGTGTGATTCCTTGTATGTAAGACATCCAGGTTTGGGACTGTGTAATCTCACCAGTTTTCAAAAAGTCCAGCCATACAAACACAGAAGTACAGCAGAGACTACTCATTTACAGATTTCACTCTAGGAATGTAAAAGTTAATTATAATAAAATGCCACAGAACTACACTTAATTTAAAATATACCAAGTCACAGATTATATTATGAAAACTCGCCACTTGGCCTACTCTTCCTTCGATTACTACAAAAAATCAGTACTTATCATTGATTTGAGTTACACCATCAAGACTATATATGCCTGTGCAAATCAACATTAGTGGAATTATACATTTTCAGATTCTTTTTCCATGATTTATATGTGTTTCCTTCTGTATTAAATGAAGCCTTTCCAATACTATTTTAATAGAACATAATGAATTACTGTTATAATCACCACTCCATTTCTTGTCCCCATCTACTTTTTAAATGACTTACATCAAAGAAATAAAAATATTTTCACTATTGCTTTTCTTTTTTTTCCTAGGTATAAACAATATGTTTGGAAAAACTTTCAATAAAGCTGAAATTGATAAGGTTTTATTCCCCAAAATGAAAAAGAACTAATATCCTTCTTGGCAAAGTCTAAAGAAAAATACTAATGATTAAGCTATAGAATAGGAATTCTGGCAACACTGTTGTTTCTAGAGTATTTGTAAAAAGTAAAAATAGGAATACTGTCAATTATTGAGTATTGAATAGTATATGACTGCTTCTAAGATGTTCTAAATGTATGGGTTGGAATATTGAAGTTAACAGATTCAGCTATACTAATAGAATACATATAGTTTTCTTTATATGACTGGTTTTTATCAATAATAGTAAGAGCTTAATACAGTTTTAATACAAATCCTCACAACACCCCTGTGAGGTAGGGATAGCTTATATCTATTTTACAAATAGAAAATCAGAGCAAGAAATAATAATCCCAAAAGATACAATATAAATCAAGAAATTCTGGTTTTCTTATGAGTCAGACTGCACTTATCAGATAGTGAGTTCTTATAATATGCTAATAAGGACAATTATTAAAGTAGTCTGTTTTTCTCCAGGAAATAACTATGTGTAGAATCTGGAAAAGAGGGAAAAATTCTAACCTAATCCAAGAGGAAAATGTCTGTTTAATATTTGTCTGATACATTGATTAAGGTGCATATAGCACTTCCAGTTTTTAGTTTGGTAATAATGATGCAAACCATTATGTATGGCTAAAATTATTAGCTACATTTTACAGATGATTAGTCAACATTAAAGGGTTTAGCTGGAAGAACTTTTTTTATACAAAGTAAATCTAAGTGAGAAATCATATCTTTAAAAAATACACTCAGCACACAATGTTAGTCATACCAGTTATTTTAAAAATATGGCTGTTGAACAAATGAAAACAAATTAAGTGGGTCAGTTCCCACACTACTATTCACTGGTTCTCCAGAACCCAGCTTTGGAGATTTTTTTCTATAAAATGGAGTTAATATTTTTCCACTTCCTAAATCAGAGAATAGCATGAAGACTAAGGAAAGAACATTTGCTTTGAATTCCTAATAATAAAAGAACTATGTGAATAAGAATAAAAATACAGTTAGCCACTATTTTCTCAACCCCCACAAATTTAGATATGTTTCTGCTTTAAATTTGTCTATCATGGCCAATCAACCCCAAATAAACTCTTACCATTTCTCCAGACTCTGCCCTGAACTACTGCCCTACCCCACAACTTATATGCACCCCTAATCACATCCTTTAGATACAAACTTTTTGTGTCAAGGACCAATGACTGAGGAAGTAGTAAAGAACAGAGAAAAGTCAGAAAATGTCTGAGAAACAATAAAAATGAGAAAAAAAATAAAATTTTACTTGAAGATGGCTAAGGAATATATCCTAAATAGCCTAAAATACAGTGGGGCCATGACTTACGAGTTAAATTCGTTCCGTGATGGAGCTCGTAACTCAAATTACTCGTATGTCAAATCAATTTTCACCATTACAATGAATTGAAATGCCATTAATCCGTTCCGGACACCCAAAAAACACCGCAATTGTTTTGTTAAATGTTTTTAAATAAGAAAAATGTATTTAAAAATAACGAATACAGCCAGAACTGGTTTGGCTCAGTGGATAGAGCGTCGGCCTGTGGACTCAAGGTCCTGGGTTCGATTCCAGTCGAGGGCATGTACCTTGGTTGTGGGCACATCTCCAGTGGGGGGTGTGCAGAGGGCGGCTGATCAGTGTTTCTCTTTCATCGATGTTTCTAACTTTCTATCCCTCTCCCTTCCTCTCTGTAGAAAATCAATAAAACATATTTTTTAAAAAATAACGAATACAGTGGGGCCTTGACTTACGAGTGTCCCACTAACGAGTTTTTTGAGATACCAGCTGTCTCTCGGCCGATTTTTTGCATTGAGCTGATAGAGTAATTTGAGTTAAAGAGCTCCTTAACGAGCTCGGTCTCAGAACGAATTAAACTCGTAAGTCAAGGCCCCACTGTATTGTATAAAAACACAATACTGAACAATAGAATGTAGTGCAATAAACTTGTTTTATTAAGTTTAATGTATAGCATTTACCTTGGAGATCAAATGACTTAAAGATGCTGATGGAGTTGGAGGAGAAAGGCTGAACTGAATAACTGAATCTTATTTGCTGATTTTTGCCCTTTTCGCCACGCTTTCATCACTTTCATCTACAGGAGTTTTCGATAAAAACCTGTCCAATGAGATCTGTTTCATCCTCCCTTTCAGAATATTTCTGAAATGAGTTAGGCAAGTGTCATTAAATAGCTCCATCGCACACCCAGTTGCAATTTTTTCTAGGTGTTTCTTTTGAATAAAGTCTGAAAGTTTGTCCCACATTCCCAACATTTCCTTTATCTCACTTATAGAGATAACCTCCTCCTCCTCCTCCTCCGTGTCATCTATTTCCTGCAAAACCTCCGTGTGCTGCTGCGTCTGTAGCTCCTTTAGCTCCTGCGTTGTCAGTTCCTCGGAGTGCTCCTCGATGAGCTCGTTGATGTCACCTTCCTTTATATCCGCGCTCGTTGCCTCACCATGTCTGACAACGGAGTGAATGCCGGTCCTCTTTTTAAAATTTTCGAACCAGCCCCGACTGGCTTTAAACGGCTCGCCCGATGCCTCGTCCATTGAAGTGCCTGGGGTCTGCTGCAGCAAATCAGCGTAAATAGCTCGTGCCTTCTCGCAGATTACAGCCTTCGTCACGGTATCTCCTGCGAGCTGCTTCTCCGTTAACCACACCATTAGCAGCTTCTCCATATTTTCATGGATAGATGTCCGCTGTTTAGAAATTATTTTAACGCCCTTGGCTGGAGATGTAGCCTGTATCGACTCCTTCTGCTTCAGTATGGTGCAGATCGTAGAAGTGCTACGCTCGTACTGCTTTGCCAAGTCGATTACACGCACACCTTGGTCATGTTTTTTGATAATTTCTTTCTTTAATTCAATGCACATCATCCGCTTCTTCTTCTCAGCACTGTCCTTCGCACTTACTTTCTTCAGATCCATGGCTGAAAAAACGAAGTTTTGCAAAATAACTGCAAGCACAAATGTGAGCACAACACTGATGCTTCAACTAAGAGCTAACCGCTTGAGGTGAATGAGTGAGACACGTGATGCTGGGCTGATGTTGTGGCGTTCACTGTGAGTTCGCTGCGCCAACTAGCGGTGGGGTATCTGAAGCTGGCTCGTAACCCGAATTTTAGCTCGCAAATCAAAGCAAAAAATCGGCCGAGAGACGGCTCGTATCTCGAAAAACTCGTTAGTTGGGACACTCGTAAGTCAAGGCCCCACTGTACATGAAAATCAATGTTAATATTTGTGTTCATCCTATGAGATGATATGTTTGAGAACAGTATGAGTTAGAATAATTACTTAAGTGATTTAAATTTAACATTCGATAAAGGCCCAGCCTAAGTGGCTCAGTGGTTGAGCGTCAACCTACGAACCAGGAGGTCATGGTTTGATTCCTGGTCAAGGCACATGCCTGAGTTGCCAGCTCAATCCCCAGTGTGGGGTGTGCAGGAGGCAGCTGATCAATGACTCTCTCTCTCATCATTGATGTTTCTCTTTCTCTTTCCCTCTCCATTCCTCTCTGAAATCAATAAAAAAAATATAAAAGATTAGATAAAGTTCTGACCCCAAAGGGCAACACGTTTACTTTAACCACTCACAATACAATTGATCCTATATCCATAGATAGATTTTGTTCTCAGCACATATCAGTCTTGACCCCAGGAAGCTTTACTCACTTGTCTAAGGTAGAAACTTGACTCCTTTAGACAATGCCCAATGGTTTTCTTCATTCAACCCTCAAGAAAAATTTATCACTTCATAATTCAGCTAACCTCAATTTACCCAGAGAAAACCTTCACACCCTTAAAATGAGGTGGATTACTCTTTGAGCTCCCTCCTGACTGAACTCTGATGCTGTCAGAAAATGTCCTCAAAGGTCATGGTTGCTACCTGGTCAGGGCATACCTGGGTTGTGGGTTCGATTTCCAGTAGAGGGCATGCGGGAGGCAGCTGATCAATGATTCTCTCTCATCACTGATGTTTCTACCTCTCGCTTTCCCTTCTTCTCTGAAATCAATAAAAAATATATTTTAAAAAAATAAGAAAACATTGGATTAAGGTAATAACACTGGGGTGTTAGTCAATGCAGATCTATCTGAATCTCTGTCTCATATGGTCATCTCTGTGTATGTACCTGTTACTCTTTAGGATTTTTTATGTCTGACCCTGCTCCTTTTCTTTTTTTTTAACTAAAATATTTTCTATTAAGAATGAAGTATGCTCACAATGTTAAAAGGTAAATAAAAGCCATGTAAAATGTTGCAGAGCTAGTAAGTAAAACATAATTTAAAAACTACTCATGATTTGGTATAGCTATGCTTAAAACACATTTTATACATTATAACATAGTTATGCATTAAAATAACTATTAATTTCCTATATGGCAGAAAATATTTAAAAATAATTCTTTAGGGGTTTATTCATGTGAAACATTAGCCAAAAGTGCCAGTCTAGAGTATTCTTTAAAAAATATTTCATTTACTTCATATTAATTTGATTTTACTGATTCTACAACCTGGAAAAACTTAGAAATTCTATAAATAACTCTTTATTTCTAAAGTTCCATATTACTACATTGATTTTTTATTTCCAAATTGTGAATTAATTTATAAGACATTCACAGCCCTCATTGAAGGTTATTTTAAAAACCATGAATTAATATCTTACGACAATGTTAAAACTATCGATAAATAGTAAAGAAGAAAAGTTAACAGAACTTGAGGAGAAAAATAATTTATGAATAAAAAATGCATGTGAATTCTGTCAGAACTGATATAAAAATTCTGAAGAAACTCCTACTCAACTAGGATAGTGTCCACATTTTCTTGTGTGAGCTCTGACTCTAAGGCACAAGATGAGTCTAATTGTTCTTGCGACAAGCGAGAACTTTTCAGGGGGACATCAGACCAGCTTTCACAATATGGCTGAAATCTCTGGGTTAATGCATTACCAAACCTTTGGCATCGGTTATATCTGTAAGATTTACCTTTGTGTGTATACATGTGTTCCAGCAATTGGCTCTTTCGGAGAAATTTATGACCACAGATGGTACAACTGATTTTTCTTTTCCTTGAAAAAGAAAAATTACAGTTTAATTCTACTGGCTCTGTGTCTTTGGAGATCAAAGACACTTGACTGATCTGCAAAGGCTCTGTGGTACCCAGGTTTGAGTGGTCAGGCTGTTGCTCATTTTCCTTGACAATGAAGGAGCTGAGCCTGCGGCATTCAAGAGCTTCGCTATTTTCATTAAGTGGGTGCACTTCACCAAGGTCATTACTTTCCAGAATGGAAGCAGGGACACCAAATGGGAGAGATCCAGACACATGGGTATGGAGATGTTGTCTTAGGTTACCACGAGAATCAAAACGTTCTCCACAGTAATGGCATAAGTGAATTTTGATACTACTTTCGGTGAACATGGGGCCTGTCATCTCGGATGAGGATGAGGAGTGGCTCTGGGAGATCACAGATTCTGAGTCACATCTCTCCTGCTTGATGGACACTGGAGGCTTCTGGTGTTCCTCCAAGGCCTGGGCTGCAGGATGGACCTTCTGCTGGTCAGTGCCATCATCCAGCCCAATAGCAAGAGAAAGCTGCAACTGGGGGTGGTCACCCTGGACAGCAGCTCTGTTTCCATTGTTATTGGAAGGCGTTTCTTTGACCTCCAGCCCTTCTTTGACAGCTGTTTTTTGGGTGGTTGAGATTTGAATGCCATACAAATTTGAGGACTGCACAGTCTCTGGTGAGAACACTTGATTCATTTCAGTTGCAATGTGAGAAAGGTAGTCGGCATGAAGAAAGCGAATCCCTTCCTCCAAACGACTATGATCCACCATCTGTTTTGGTCCTTTCCCCGTGTACATAATGTGCAACAAATAGCTGAATATGTCAGGCTGGATGTCAGTTGGTTGTATTTTTATGCATTCACTGTTAAAAATAAAAAACAGACCCACACAAAATGAAACAACCTAGTTAGTCTTTTAGTTAACAGTATATAGTCTTAGGCTAAAGCAATTTTTTCCTAAGAAGTTCAAACTTAGCAATTTGCCTTGATGAAACACAGCAACAAAAGTTTAAACTTTCATTGGATACCAGTTTTATGACCGAGCAACCAGTCTTCATGTCTCCAATCTACTGCCGAAAGTTAGGAAATAGACAGATATCCTGATTAGTTCAATGTTTATGTAGTGATTCCTAAGTGATACTAGCTGCCAGAGAATAGAAAAATTACAAATAAAACAGGTATCCTGCTCTTGAAGAACTTAAAAAATCTATTGAGTATATAACCAAAAACAGGGACTCAAATAAATACCCATGTTCAGTACAGCATTATTCACATTACCCAAAAGGTAGAAACAACCCAAGAGTTGGTCCATCAACAGATGAACGGATTAACACAATGTGGCACACAGATACAATAGAATATTACTCAGTCATAAAATGGAATGAAGTTCTAATACATGCTACAACATGGGTGAACCTTGAAAATATGGTAAGTGAAATAAGCCAGATACTAGAGGACAAGTTTTGTATGATGCCACTTATAAGAAATATCTAGAATAGGCAAATTCATAGAGACAGAAAGTAGTTTAGAGGTTACCAGGAGCCTGTGGGAGTGGTGGTGAGAAATGGTTACTTAAAAAATATAGTTTCTGAAGTGGGAAGTATGGGCTTAATTAATTAGCGTTTTTCATTTCTAGAATCACAAACCATGTCTCTTCAGATGCTTATCATCTTTTGATTGGACATTTTCATATCCTCTTTTATTTTTTTCAAGTAAGATTATTTCTCGAGAACCAAGATGGCGGCATAAGGTACAGACCTGTGCGTGCTGCCTCCCACAACAACATCGAGACTACCAACTATAAGACAAACAGCTATCATTCAGAACCATGGGAAAGCTGGCCCAGTGGAAGCTCTACAACTGGAAGGAAAGAAAGAAGAGCACTGAGACTGAGTAGGTTGTGCAGAGGCTCCAAGAACAGAGGTACGGAGTCGCACACCAGGCGGGCTGCAACTGGATGCGCGTTTTTTTTCAATCAGAAGGGGATGCAGACTCTCAAATCCACTGAGTTTGTTTAGGGTGGGATCCTGAGGTCCCAGACACCTTCGGGGAGAGGCAGGACAGCCTTGCAATGGGCCAGAGAGTGAGAGTGGCTGTCTCACGGAGCTGCTCGCGGCACTCGGGGACGCGAGACGCGGAGTCGCAGAGAGGTGAGGAGTCGCGGAGACGCCATTGCCCCTTGCTCTGCCCTGGTGATTCTCGGGGACCCCACCCTACTCAATTTACATCCCCACCCAAGCTGTGCCAGTGGCACAAAGGGAACCACCGGCGCTTTTGCAGCCCAGCCCAGAAGAATGCGGATTTTAACTCCTCGCATACATAAGGGACACACTCAAGAAGCAGAATCAGGTTCGGAGGAAGCCGGAGCCGGACCCGACTGGGCCGGCAATGTGGAACTGCTGTACCAGCAAACGCACAGGCAGGTCCACCAGATCCAGTCTCACATGGGACGCTGGGAGACAGCAGACAGGCAGTCTGTGCACTTGGTAGAAAACGAAATCCAAGCAAGCATACCAGATATTCAGCCACCAGGAACGCCTGGAGATTTTGTCCAGCAAGGAGCCGCCCAACAAAGGACAGAATGCCAAACTTCGTGTTGCTGAGATGGCACTCGTGAGGCCGAGACAGCCCCCATAGGGCTGAGGCGGCCCCCGTGAGGCTGGGACGGCCCCGGTGAGGCTGAGACGGCCCCGGTGAGGTTGAAAGGGCCCCTGTGAGGTTGAGACGGGACCTGTGAGGCTGAGACGGCCCCTGTGAGGCTGGGACGGCCCCTGTGAGGCTGAGATGGCCCCTGTGAGACTGAGACTGCCCCTGGGAAGCTGAGAAAAATACCACATGAACTCACTCATTTATGGATAATAAGGACCATTATAGACTGATGAACAAAAATGGATACAGAGGCAGAGCAGCATTGAACAGACTGTCAAACTACAGTGGGAACCCTGGGGAGTGTTGGGGCGGGTAGGAGATCAACCAAAGGATTTGTATGCATGCATATGAGAATAACCAATGGACACAAGACACTGGGGGGTGGGGGAGGCAGGGGAATGTCAAGGGGGGAAAAAAGGAGACATGTGTAATACTCTTTGTAATACTTTAAGAAATAAAAATAAATAAATAAATAAAAGATATAGTTTCTGGGGTGATGAAAGGCCTTAGAAATAAACAGTGGTGATGGTTGCACAACATTGTGAATGTAATTAATGCCACTGAATTGTACAATTAAAAATGGTTAAATGACAAATTTTATGTTATATATATTTTATCATAATGAAAATATTTTTAAAAATTTAAAGAGTATATTGAAATTGGTAATATTTAGAATTTACGTTATGCTAACCTTATTTTGTCTTCCAAACTATATTAATATATCTACTCTTTAAATCACAAGTGAATACAGGGATAACTTTGAAAAGCTTTAAAATAAGTCCCAAGCCAATTTTTTACGTATGAATCTAGAATTCAGATAACAGATGGAAATAACCGTCTAACAAGAAATCAGGAAACACCCTGAAAAATTAGGATAAAGACAACCTGAGGGAAGTGTTGGATGTCAAGGAACAATGGAATCAGTCCATGGACTCCCCTGAAGCAAAAGTCTGAGTGCGTGCATCGGAAAGCACTGGTGTCAGTATGCTGACAATCCATTTCTTTAGTCCTGAGATCCTGGGATTCCCTCTGGGCTTCACTCTTAGCTTTGACCCACTCACTTCACAGTCTGTGGCAGGTGTTTTCTATATCAGCACAGAGCTCTGTTAGCTGAGGATTTTCACTGCTCAAGAGATAACACACAGCAGGCTGCCACCTTTCTATCTCCTGGATTTACTTTAGCAAGGTACCTGGTACACAACAGGTACAAGAGGTGAGCCAACCCATAGCTCTCAGATTGATGTGAAGGTAGTGTTTCTAATCTAGTTTCTGCATCGACACAGAGAGGAAACTCTTTGGCAGGGCAGAAAAGGCTACCCATTACTTGTCCCCGACTCTAACCTCCTCGCCACTTTGTGCCATACATTCCAATCATTCTGATCTAGACTGGTTCATATCTGCATTTTTCATGCATGTTTTCCTCTACCTTCAATAAACTTTCTTGCATTCTTCTACAACATCTGTAAAACAACTCCTGATCCTTTAAAATCTAGGGCCTCTGTCCCAGTAAATCCTGTTCCAATCTTCTCAAAATAGGGCTGCTGACACTCCACTTTACCTTGTGCAACACTTCTATTATAGACTTATTACATTAATTATTAATAACACTAACAGTGCAAAGCTCCTGTTCTAACCATTTTAATTTTATTAGTCCCTTTATTTTATCAACACCATGGGTAGGTACGTTATTCTAGTGTTTTTACAGAGAAGGAAACTGAGGTACAGAGAGAGCAATTACACAGCAATTATTTTCTTTACATTCATTACTCTTCTATCTATACTAATAAAAGGGTAATATGCTAATTAGACCAGGTCAACGGGACATCTTCCAGTCATCCTTCTGGATAAAGCCATGGTGGTGGGGGCCGAGGCAGAGGTGGTTAGGGGCAATCAGGCTGGCAGGGGAGCAGTTAGGGGTGATCAGGCAGGCAAGGCAGATGAGCAGTTAGGAGCCAGTGGACATCCCCTGAGGGGTCCCGGATTGGAGAGGGTGCAGGCCAGGCTGAGGGACTCCTTCCCCCCCACTGTCCCCTTGCATGAATTTCATGCACCGGGCCTCTAGTTAGACTATAAATTTCTCAAGGGCAAGGAGTATAACTTATATTGTTGCTGGGGTCTGGTACAGTGCCTAACATGTAAGTGCTCAATCAATAGTTGAATGAATGAACAATTTAAATAAATGTATAATTGAACTCTGGCCAAGTAGCTCAGTTGCTTGGAGCATCATCCCATACACCAAGAGGTTGTGGGTTTGATTCCAGATTGGGGCACAAACGGGAAGCAACTGATTGATGTTTCTCTCTTACATTGATGCTTCTCTCTCTCTAAAAATCAATTTAAAAAAAACAACACATATCCTCAGGTGAGGATTTAAAAAAATGAGAAAATTAACTTTCAAAAAACAAATAAATAAAATTAAAAATGTATAATTCAGTCTGGAATCCTAAGTATTTCATGTAAGGTCTTTTTAAAAAATCATAGACTGTTCTACCACTTTCAATGTAGGATAGAATAAAGCTATTCTTTACCAAGAGCTCAGAATGTGAACACCACTTCCCAGCCCTCTGCCTACATACCTATTCTATTGAGGTAAGCTAAATTCAAAAAAGCTTTTAGAAAAAATATTTGAAACAAATGACCTTTGAACTGTAATATGGAATATAAGGTGAGTAGAATTATGACATCAAAACTGTGATATGAAAGTGTTATGGAATACAAATCAACAACTTAGTGATTAAGAGCACAGACCTTTAACAGCACAGATCTACGTTTGAGTCTAACTTATTAGCCTTAGTAGCTGTATAATCCTGGATGGGCAAGTTACTTAACAACTGAGCCTTGATTTCCTTTCTCTAAAATAGTATGGACAATAGTATAATTTACATCAGGTAAATACTTAGTGCTTGTATAAAATAACCCTTCAATAAATTTGAGCTATTATTGTTTTTATTCTTATCTTTCAATATGAATCCTTCACATTGCATTTAATTACTGATATATAAAAAATTTATAACAATTTTTTTCTTATGTGACCCCATAACAAGAATCCCCCAAATGATGATGTTATTATAAGGTTTAGACATACCACAGTATTAAAACTCTTCAGATTTACAAAAGCACATCCTTACCTTGTTTGGTGAATAAATATCATCTTGAAATAGTTAGAAAAAGCAGCAAGCACTGCTCTGTGGGCTTTGAAGTAAACATCTCCAATAGCAACTGTGCAATCACACAGAAAACCAAATTCTCGTTGCATGTTCAGCTGCTGCAGAAGGACAAGGCTATGGCTAGCTGTGTCCATTGTGGCTCTAAGAAAAAGGAGAATATAAAGATTTTAATTACAACATTGGCTACAGTTCACATAAGCCTGAGTACAAGGAGACCTACATTTAAGTAAAATTATTCAATAATTTTCTTTATTTTAATCCTCATTGAGGATATTGATTTTAGAAAGGGAGGAAAGGAGGGAGACAAATATCAATGTGAGAAAGAAACATCGATCAGTTGCCTCCCAAACACACCCAAACCAGGGATGGAACCCATAACCTAGGTACGTGCTCTGACCTGGGACTAAACCAGCAACCTTTTGGTGTATTGGATAATGCTCCAACCAACTGAGCCACCCAGCTAGGGCAACAATTTTCTTTTATTTTTAATTACAGTTTATATTCCATATTATTTTATATCGCCCTGGCTGAGTAGCTCAGTTGGTTAGTGTCGTCCTGATACACCAAGGTTGCCAGTTGGATTCCCCAGTCAGGGCATACAAGAATCAACTAATGAATCATAAATAAGTGCAGCAACAAATTGATATTTCTCTCTATCCTTTCTTCTCTCTCACTCGTGTGTGTGTGTGTGTGTGTGTGTGTGTGATTTTGTATTAGTTTCAGCTGTACAGCATACTGGTCAACAATTTTCTATTAATTTCACCCCAAACTTAGCTAACACTAAATCCTCCTAATTTGACAATCGGTACCAACTCTGCTGAAACCATAAACATTTATGGCTTTTCTTCGTCTGGTAAGAAGGTAGCCTGGTATGAGTGACACAGGAGCAGAAGGCAGGCCTGTCCTCTTTTATCTATGCAACCACAATGTTTTTAGTCCTCAGTTTTCTTCACCGGACAAATGGGAATGGGATATTGATCCTTGCCTCAGAGCTAAGAGAAGTTAGGTGAAAAGCACTGTGTAACTGAAATGCTCTTCAAATGTTAGCTATAAATATTAATAACGTAACAGTGTGTCCTGGCTGGGCTAGAGGTGTCTGCTCCGTAGGGGTCCTCGGTGTGCGTAGGGGACACTGGTGCCCTAACTACCATACAATGTTTGGGAAACTTATCAGTCACAGTAAGGTCAGGAGCCCTTAAAATAGATGTCAAGCCACATCCCCTGATTTACAGGAGGCCTGGGAGTCTCATGGGAAAGAACCTAAACCCTGATCTTAACTGGATTCAGACACATATAAGTACGGAGAGTCCTGACGGAAGTAGAATGCCGGATGGGTGCACTAGTCTCAGGGAAAAATCATGCATGAGGGAGAACACGCAAAAGAATTCTGGCAGAGAAGTCTAGTGTGAGCACCAGGGCATTCAAGATGCTGTGGCTCCAGAGAGGTGGGAGGCTGTGCTTGACCACCTTCTCCACCCCACTGTTCAGAGAACCCTGGTGCTTTAGGGAGAAGGCAGCTATGGTATAGAGGGCACCACTGGGGGGCTGGGAGAACCTCCTCTAAAAAAGCAGACCTAAACAGAGACGGAAGTTTCCTTCCTAGCCAGAGAGTCCAAGGGATAAGCAAGTGAGTGATTAGACTGTGGGGTTAGCTATCTGGGCATTGGCAATAGCTTGAGCAGCAGACAGCTGAGTGACTGATAATGTAATAAAAATAGCTAACATTATATAGAGCTTCCTATGTGACAAGCAATATTTCACTAATTCTCAGTACAACTCAATGAGAAAGGGACTACTCAATGAATCTTACATATGAAGAAACTGAATCAGCACAGAGAGTTAATTTACTCAATGTCATTGCTAGTGAGTGGCAGAGCAGGGGATTCAAACTCAGGCAATGGGTTCCAGGACTCAAATGTCCTCCCTCTCTACCTCCCAGAGAACATGACACACAAACTAGAGGAGCCGAGTGAATAGTCGGGATTAGACAGCAAGGGGCCCCGGTAAGTCTCAGCAATATTTGGAGTAAAATGTTTGCTCCTGGGAGGGAAACGAGGGAGCAGGGAGTTAAGGGTGGAGGGAACCGTACTGTTTAAACTTAAAACAAAACCTTTTATGCAAATTTTATATCATAAATATATACAGTGGGGCCTTGACTTACGAGTGTACCGACTAACGAGTTTTTCGAGATACGAGCCGTCTCTCGGCCGATTTTTTGCTTTGAGTTGCGAGCTAAAATTCAGGTTACGAGCCAGCTTCAGATTCCCCACCACTAGTTGGCGCAGCGAATGGTCACAGTGAACGCCACAACATCAGCCCAGCATTCAATTCATTGTAATGGTGAGAATTGATTTGACATACGAGTAATTTGAGTTACGAGCTCCGTCACTGAACGAATTAAACTCGTAAGTCAAGGTCCCACTGTACCTACATGTAATCCCTTCCCCCTAATTTTTAATTTTATTATTTTTTAAAATTTTATTTTATTGTTTAAAGTATTACAGATGTCTCTCATTTTCTCTCCCTTTTTGACCCTTCCACCCTACCCTCACCCCACTCCAGGCCTTCATTTTTTATTTTGCATTATTTTATTTTAAAAAATTTTTAAATCCTCACCCGAGGATATGTTTTTTTTAATTAATTAAAATTTTAATTTATATTTTGAGAGAGAGAGAGAGAGAGAGAGAGAGAGAGAGAGAGAGAAAGATCAATTGGTTGCCTCCCACACCCACTCGGACTGGGGATTGAACCTGCAATGTGGGTATGTACCTTGACCAGGAATCAAACCGACTGACTGTTTGGTGTACAGGATGATGCTCCAACAAGAACTTACCTTCATTAAAAAAAAAATTATATATATATATATATATATATATATATATATATATGTATATATATATATATTTTATTGATTGGGGGGGAGAGAGAGAGAAAGAGGAACATCAATGATGAGAGAGAATCATTGATCGGCTGCCTCCTGCATGTCCCCTACTGGGGATTTTAGATTCTCTGAAATGGGTCAAATTGAAGTACCTTAAACTAGCCTTATAAATTGTCTCAAAAAAATCCCCCCAGATCACAAACATTTTCACCAGTTCTCTAGACACACACACAACACACACACACACACACACACACACACACACAGTGCATTAATAGAATGAACTACTGAACCATATGGAAATGAAAATGGCACACTAAAAAGCCACATATAAAAAAATACTGTGGTTAATGGTGTATGAGTAACAGTAAAATTCACTTATTGAAAAAATATTTATTGAAGAGAAATTTAATAAAGAAAAATATTTGAAAGCATGCATTGCACAAGGCATAGGGACAGAAAAAAATACATAGATGCTGAAATCAAGAAGATTATAAGCTAACAGGGGAGATAAAACATAGTAATTACAACATGAAGTGACAAGTGCCATAGAGCAGCTCGGAGAACAAGTTACGTGAGGGAGAATAAATAACAGGAAACCCAAAGGAAAATAAGCCATTTGAACTGGATTTAGACGAATAGGCAGAAGGTGAACATAGCACTGCAGGCAGAAAAAACAGAATGCCTAGAATTACAGGGAGGGATATAAATATATAGATAACTGAAGAATTCCATTTGGCACAGAAAAAACAAACAAAAGTAGGTAGATCCCAGTCAGGGCACAAAAGGAAGTGAATAACAAGATGGGGTCAGCTAGCTCACTGAATATAAACTAAAAGGTACTCCAGTGGTGTCTGTTAAGATGTTTTCTGTGAGGGAGAACAGTGTAGTAGTTAAAGCCTGACCTCTGGAATCAGACAACTTGGATTAAAATTCTTGCTCTGTCACTTAGTTGTGTGGTCTTCACAAAACACAACTCTCTAGTCCTCCATTTCAGTTATAAATATGGGTAATTATGGTATCTACCTTACAGGTTGTTAAGATGATGCATATAAGCACTTAGAAATGTGGTCCCATAGGAAGTGTTCAATAAATAGCACTCATCATCATCACCACCACCATCATTTGGCTTCTGAGTCAAGACTAGTCAGTTTAGTTGGAATATATTTTTAAAAATTAGTAAGTGAAAGGCCTGGAGAAATAAAGAACAAGGAGCCTACTGCAATATCCAGGTAATGGTGTAAATGAAGGAAAGAATATGATCCACCAGACGTAGAACTGACGTGACTTGGCAGCAGATTGGATGTGGTCAGCTCCAGAGATCAAGTCAAAGGTGAGTCTCAGAATTCAGCTTGGGTAATTGGAAGACTGTTCATTCCTTCAGGTCATATTTGCAGAGTAACTGCCATGTGCAGGAGTTGATATAAAGGCAGGGTCTCAGAATGCCAAAGAAGAGACACAGAAACTGGCTTGGTAAGAGTCAAGTTTCACTTTGGACACACTGAGTTCAAGTGTTCACTTAGGACATCCGAGTACACGTGTTTAGTGATCAGAGTAGGGACAACATGCTGGTCTGAGGCTCTAGAGAGAGCAGGGCTGGAGAGGGAGGGGAGGTCCTCTAAAATGACAAGGCTGAAGCTGCCGAGTGAATGGGACTATCGCGTAAACGAAGAGAAAATCAGGTAAGAATAAATCCTTGAACAACACAGAAAAGATACAATAAGGGGGAGAGGAAAATAAGAGAATACACTGTCATTGGGGGAGGATAAGGGAGGTGAGGGAAAGGTGAGAACCTTGGCAAGAGGAGGTAGCAATGACGGAAAATGCTGCAGAGTAACACCGGGATGAAGCCTGTCACAACACCCCCAAGTGTGTGACCAAAAGGTTTCTGGTGACCTATGAAAACAATCTGGGAAAATAGCAAAAGCAAAATATCTGACTGCAAGGTTATACTGGAAAGCAGCAGCCATAAGGGGTAGGTACAAATAAGAGGTCATTGAGGTTGCTGCAGATTGAAGATAACTTTCAGGCTAAAGAGGGGGTGGCACCTCGAGAAGTCAGAAGGAATGCAATCAAAAGTATAAGCATAGCAGTTAGCCATGGAGAAAAGAGGGGTTTCTTTTTCTGACAGTGGAGAGGAAATGGTCAATGTGAGGAGAGAGTATTCAAAAGTATTCTTTTAGATGTCATTGATTTACAAATTAGAAGTCAGTCCACATGCAAAGGGAAGAGGTTAAGTTTAGGCCTTGAAAGGAACCTA